TATTAGGTGTAATAAGCACTTTGAACTGTCGAAAACAAGTCATAATTTCTGGTATTGAGTCACGTATGTTGCTGACCGGGCTTGCCTCTGGTGCTCGAGTGGCATTCCTGGTGACTTCAGTGCTTGAGTGGCTTTCTCGATTGCTCCAAATGGAACTTTTCATTATATCTCTGTTTGAGGGCTTAATATGAAAAAATGTGGCGTGATTTGTAAAACATGAAATGGAATAGGGGTCAGCATTTTACTTTTTACATTACGCACTACGTTTGGGTCGCTGGATAAGAACAATGAAAACAATAAATTTTGACCCAGAGGAAGGGTAAAAAAACAGTCTGACGTACCTATCGATAGTTCTCTCCAGTCTTGAGTATATGAAACCTTCATGCACACACATCTATATCAAAATATATACAACACATGCTTTATCCGTTCCTACTATCCTGGTCCTTTTATGCTCTATGTGAATTAGTCTAGCGATATGACAGAAAAAAACCAAGTAGACCCATATGTATATTGCAGAATTCTCTTGGTTTTAGGTTGTCTGCAATAACTCTCTGTTCGGAGTTGTAGTTTTGGTCTCATTTTTAATGAAATATGTGGTATTGAGATGTGGAATAACAGGTTGATGACTATTCTAACAGACCTTGGTTTTTAATAAAAAAATGTGTTTAGCTCATAAAAGTAACTCATAGAGACCATTGATAGATTAACAAGGGAATATGATTGAGTTTGTTTTACGTGGGTTTCTATTGATGTTGAATTAATTTGCTGGCATTTCCTTTGCTTTTGCAGACTGATAGGGCTGCTATGCTTGATGAGATACTGGACTATGTGAAGTTCTTGAGGCTTCAAGTCAAGGTTAGATTGCTTATCTACTATTGTCATGAGTGAAATATTTGTATAATAGCATGTATGAGTATGACTTAAAATACTGTTGGATTCTCTTGACCTGCCATTATAGAAAGGCATCAAACTATTTAATTTCTGGTTCCCCAACCTCTTGAATTTCTGGTTGCTTATCTAGTATTTGAATTCTTCAAGCATTTTCTAATTTTGATGTCGGAAAAATTATGCTGTTGTCGACCCGTGTTTTATGGGTAGTGATCATCTTTTTGCTGAAAAAAAAAAGAAGAAGATATTTTTGAATTTTTCTCAAGACACTTTGAGTCAACTTGTGCCAGTTGTTTGAATATCCGATCCATGTATTGTACATAAGCCAAGAATCATTCCCCTTGGTCTCTCTCTCTCTCTCTCTCTGAACTAACAATTAAATATTAGTAGGTTTTGAGTATGAGTCGACTTGGTGGTGCTGGTGCAGTGGCTCAACTTGTTGCCGATATACCCTTTCAGCCCATTGAGGTAAATATATAATTACACTTCTAACTGCAGCTTTTCAACCACTCTGTTTGTGCATATGTTGTTTCCTATTATGTTCACACCACAAAACACTCTCGTTTACTTTTAGGACGATTCCAGTGAAAACCAGCACGTGTGGGAAAAGTGGTCGAACGAGGAAACAGAGAGTGAGGTGGCTAAACTCATGGAAGAGGATGTGGGGGCCGCAATGCAATTCCTTCAGTCGAAATCACTCTGCATCATGCCTATTTCACTTGCAGCCCTCATCTATCCCATTAACCAAACGGATGACTCGAGTCTCATCAAACCTGAGCCCCCAGCCCCTCTGTAAATAAGAAAGTCACGTCTTAATTGCAATGCCCCTATAAAAAACTCATTTAGATCCAACATGCGTATTTAAATGTATCTACATAATCTCCCTTTTGTGCTCTTTCGCATGGCAATGCCAGAGCTTTTTCTTTCTCCTTTGGTGACTGGTCGTGAAATGGATGGAGGCACTTTTATGAAGTCGGGTGTTTATTGATTTGGAGACTTTTGTTTCGGCTGGTGGTTCGCTCGTCGTTTTCCGGTTGGTGGGTTGGTGAAGGGAAGTGTGGCTGTTTGGGGACTTTCTGGCCTTTTGGTTTTTGGTAAATATGGTATTTTGTCAAAGTCCCTTATGTGTGTGCCATGTGAGTTCGATTCTGTATTGTTGTACTGAATGGGTATTGTTAATATTTTATTTCTCGTGGTTATTAAGAGTTTTAATAATGTACACCTTGATTTTCTATTATATATTATTTTTTTGGCATGTAAATTATGATTGATTTTAGAGTCAACTTTGTTGGAGCAAGCAATTTCTGTAGCAAATTTATAATTAATCTGTGTTGCTAGGTACACGAGGATAATAGCATGAGGGTCATATTTGACCGTTGTGTTATTATGATTGTCTCTGAAGTTCCTGGAATCTGATGTGCTCTCAGAGTACCGCAAAACTCGAAGAATTTCACTTGGCGTAATATATTCTTTCCTTTGTCTTCTCCCCTTCAGATATTTTATTTTTTCGTTTCAATTATTGTTTTTCCTCGTATTTGTTAAGAAGAGTGTGACAATCTGAACAGAAGACCTACCGTAACTGGAACATGATATATTTTCGTTTCAATTATTGTTTTTCCTACCGTAACTGGAAAATGAATGAATCTCATATTAAATTGGACTAATTTCGCAATGTTAAGTAATTGAATTTGTAGATGATTCGAGTATGTAGATGGACTAATTTCGAAATGTTAAGTTAGTGAATTTGTAGATGATTTTGAAAGTGGTAAAGTAAGAGTTTGTAGATGATTTTTAAAAGTGGTAAAGTAAGATTGTTGTTAGATAACAATAATAATTTTTAAAATATAAATGTTTATATTTAAAGATAATATTAAAGAAGCATGATATGTTTAATATTGATATGCATTTTTTATTACAAAAAAAAAATAGTTTGTTAAATTGACTTTAAAATATTTAAATTAAATTAAAATAATTTTAAGTATTGGGTCCAATTGAATTGGATCCACATGCTAGGAATGATGAAATGAATTGGACAACGACCAACTCGATTCACTAGTCGTAGTGTTGTTATGTTGTCTATCTCAAATACCTTTTGACTATATGCTTAACATGTTCTAAATATATTCTTGATTCTAATGAAATGATAAATTGAATAGTAAATAATATTAAGATCAAAATCAATTCACACACATCATACAACTCTTACAAATAGATAACTTATTTATACTTTTATATATTGAAGTATCCACACAGAACTAACAATCTTTTACTAAACCTAAGTGCACATTACCGACAACAATATGCAGTAGGATAACCAGACAAGTACACAATTGCTAATTAAATAAACAAATAATGATAGTGACAACTAATTTAAACAAATAAAAATATGTGGGCACTGTGATTGTTAAAAATGTGAGCGAGCACGATGTTCATTTAATGCTTGCTCTCGTGTTATGATCTCCTCCAAACAAGGGACTCGAAGATGTCTGTTTTTTTCTCTTAAAAATTTTCAACACACGGTTACCAAACAATTTGGCCTTCCCCATTAATATGTAATACTTTACATAATCTCTTCTTGTAGTTTTTAAGCTTTAAAAAGTCGCCATCAAATTTTAAGATAAACTAATCATGGCTTGTTAACCTTTTTTACCTTCTTTCTAATTTGCTCTTTTCAAGTATATATTCTGCAAATAACCTAAAAGCTTGATCAACCATAATTAGATTAAGTTGTACTTGTAGTTGTTTAATTAAAGTAAATATTATGGACATTAATAGTGAGATGCCACACTAATTTGGTTCCCACAAGTAAAAGTCTTGAATCAAATTTTAGGACGCATGCAAAATATCCACACAAAATAACAATAAAGAGTTCTCAACTTCCAACCAATTTCCGGCAACATTTAGCAACCCTAATGCTAACTTTAATCACTGTTATTACGGACCTGAGATTCCAAGATTTACTGATTATAAAGGATTAATATTAGGAATTTTAGAAAGCTGGGGCAAGATTGAAATTCCTTTCTAAAAAAATTATTGAGAGGAATTTTCAACACTCATAGTTTTTATGTTAGTCTTTTTTATTTTCAACACTGATATATATTCGTCTTGACAAGACATTATCTCACAAATACTGTTTTATTATTATCATTTTTTATTTTCTATTTTTTTAATACTTTGAAGTAACATTACTAATATAAAAAATTGCACTAATGTCAAAATTATCAGCCGGAGGCCGGTCAACTAGCACAATTTTGGACGGAGTGAAATGAGAATTATTATTAGCAAATATATGCCTCCAATTTGAGGGACACACGACATACTCGTCCGAAATCTCCACATTCATAGAAAGAGTTAGTTCCTTTTGTTTTTCTTATTTTTGTTATATTTATTATAAATTGTCTTTTTTTTTTAATTTCATTTTTGAATGTGGATGGGTTCTGCATAAATGAAACTAGCTACTCCGAGTGAATTTCAGTTTTTGATTAATAGAAAGTCCACTTTCATGAAGAAATTTGGTTTTCAGGGTATGATATAATATTATAATGTACCATCTACTTGGCTATATAAAAAAACTTTTACATTTTTCAATTTCATTTCACTATGCATTAATGAAGGTTCCATAGAATTTAACAAAAAAGAGCATCCAGAATTGTTTTCATCAAAGAAGAGACAAACAAAGAGAACCTTGGAATTAGGTGAAAGAGACAATTAATGTGAAGGAGCTTAGGGTTTTGTAAAAAACCACCATTTTCAATATAGTAATTAATACATCACTCTATAGAAATGGGTCTTATTTCATGTCAGGGCCTCATTAATTGCTTGGTCTACTGAGTGTGTATATAATCGTTTTGGTCATTGTAATAAGCTTCAATGGGGAATCTTTGTAAATTTTTTAAGTCACCAGCTAGTGGACCTGCATTTAATGTGTCTTGTTTAGGGGATATCAAAACGTCCATTTGTTAGAATCACTTGTTTTAGTTCAATATTTTACTTTTAGCAAAAATATCGATTGATATTACGTTGATTCACAAATTTCGTGTGATTCAGTCTAATGATTAGGCGAGTTGAATTGTGTCTCATCTGCGCTAATTAAAGATACACATTTGTTAAGTAAGTATAATTATCTAACTATTCGGATTGCCTAACAACAATCCTACCGGTGATTAGGTAGATTATCTCAATACAAGTTTCACGCGCTTCATTTTTGTTTCATACTCGTGGACAAATGTGACATAATCATTTTTCATTGATAGTACTTGATTAGAATATATTGTTGCAATTTCATGTTTCATTTTGTGTTTCATACATTTGTTTCATGTCGTATCATCATTAATTTTCTTCAGTTATCTACTAGAATATATATTTTATTTTACGCTCGTGTACAATCGTAATAACTTCATCTACTTCGGATATTTCTCTTCTAGGACTTGATTTTTCTTTTAGTTTTGAATTTTTCAAAATTCAAAAAAATATCTATCGATACTATACTGGACTAAATAGAACCTAACAAATTAACACGCCACATAATTAACAAATATCTTCATAATTAGGTCATGAGAGACCCTTGACCGAAATATCATGCACACAAATAATTAAGACTCATTAATTTTGATAAACAAGCTTGTTTATCAAGAGTTCGAAGTCGTTATCGATTTTTTAGTTAACGATTCGAGCCCAAACTTAGTATTAGGAGTTTGAACTGGATTCTGACTTGTTTTTCACTGCAATTCCATTGAGGTCAAATAAAATAAACATGTTTTT